GACAGGTATGGACAAACAGAAACCTTTTATTGATACAGTCATTTAACCATTAGAGTACAATATTTATTGATGGATTGACTGTCTACTGTAAAAAATTGTGGTTTAGACAAATTTGTAAGGAGTTTTTCAGTGTTGGGAATTTTTAATTGGGTTTTGGGAGGGGTGTCCGCCAAGCGCTTCTAGATGGGATAAAAATTGTGTTTCCCAAAATTTGATTAGATCTATATGTACTGTAGTTAGGCTAAGAATCACAGATAAACAGTTCCATTTTTTAATTTTGTTAAGCCATTTACAGTATAATAATTTTGATTTCTTGAGCCCTTGGTTTTTTGAAATGCCCAATAATGAATAATGAAAATATTTATTTTTTATTCAAACAAAGCCTAACTTTCAAACCTCCTGATAATTGGAATCAATTTGCCTTACCCATGGTGGTTAGATTATTGGGATTCCACTGTGCATTTTTTATTAACAATCATTTCTAAGCCAGACTTGAGTTGTCTACAGTCTTGAATGTGATGAGAACAAAAGTAGGAAAATGCCACAAATTATAGTTTTGTTTTTCTGACAGACTGTTTTTCTATTTTATTAATTTTCTTCAGAGGCATGTGATAACAGCAAAACTTGTGACAGCAGTCACATCCAGCTGTTTGATTCAAAGACTAAAAGCAAATGGCTACAGAAACCCTGATCACTCAAGAGCACTAAGTAAGCTGTGTTATGGATCAATTATGCAATAGACTATTGTATTTAATATTTGAAGAAATGAAATTGATTAGAAGAATTTAGACAGCATCTGGTCATAATAGCAAACAAAATAGAATCTGGTTTTTGTTAATTGCCAGTGAATGCACGATAATATTATGAGTGTAACAAAAACTAACGTCTGTGTCTGTGTATTATGTAGTGCATGTAATAAGCTTGCAGTTTTAAAGTGATACATATCAAACATGAGTCAGAGTGTTTCATGTAATATATCAAACATGAGATGCAGTGTTTCATCACCAGATGAAACACCGAGAAGAGAGTTGAAAATACGACGCGCAGCGGAGTATTTTTGACGAACTCATTAAACATAAATTTCCTTTGTATTTTCTTAATGAATTATTAATGAGTTTGAGAATGCAAGATCAAACATTCAGAAGAGAGTTGAAAATACAACACACAGAATAGTATTTTTTATAAATTTTGAGGTGTTTGATGTTGTTATGAAATACTGTCTCAAACAAACTCATTTTAGAGGGATAAATTAAGGATGTAAATAAGAGGAGTTTTTCATCTGATTTCTAAACATGGAGCATTAAACATTTTATTTCTTCTGTGTTTTCTTTATGATTTATCAATGAGTTTGAGAGGTTCCTTGACAACCCTTGGCTGTGGTTAACAAATAAGACAAAAATGTTTACATATCTACCTCTATATCAGTGGAAAGTTGGATAAAATGCCTGTGTTAAGTTTAAAGGCCCTTAAGTCCTTTAAGACTGCATTTTGTGCTGGAACCTGTTAGAAATTGTTGCTCACTTATTCAACTCCGGTTCTTAAGTGGCTAATACGACAAAGTAACTGGAAGAAACTTAGCAACAAAAGATAGAAAATAAATAAACAAAAATGATCGTTGCTGATTAATATTGTCTTACAATGCATTGACTTCTTTACTAATAAGAATCCAGTCCTTGAAAGTCCTTGAACCTTTAGACCAAAAAAAGCATGAACCCAGTACCTGTTGTAGTTGCCAAACTGTAAATTAAAGCCAGTTTTAAGGTACAAACAACCCTTAATTATGATTTTGTTAATAGATATACCATATAAACTTTGCTTGTTTAATAAATTTCTAGTAAAAGAAAAGCTGGCACATGATCCAGACAGTGAAGTAGCCACCACAAGTTTAAGAGTGTCACTTCTATGCCCAGTGAGTATCCTTATAGAGGAGATCTTGATGTTCATGATCTGTTTGCTTTTCTTTTTCAAAGTTATGTTCTGTCAAAAATAGGATCTGTAAGTAACATTCTCCATTGGAGTTGTTTATCCAACGACTTCTGCTTTTTGACACTATTGGGACGTCATATTTCACCAATGAACAGCTTTGATTTTGTGAAGAAAACACACTAATCAAGTTTCACTGACAGAGGTGCATGACTGAAGGACCTGTAGCTGAAAATAATATGTGTTAGGCAAAATACGATTTATTTTTAAAGCAGGATGCACAGCAAAAGCTTGAGTAGAACCTGCAAATGCTGGATTTTTATCAAATGGATTGTTGAATTCGGCTTAAGCTTGAATTTTCAGGAAAGTTTTCTAGAATCAGTATGGCTTCATCATATGACAAACACTTCATTTTCTGTTTTACTTTCTTTGTTAGTTTACAACATTACATTACTGAATCAGATCCACACCTGGATTCACCCGAGTATCAAAAACTTGTGTCAAGGAATTTGGCAAAGTTTTTGATAATGAAAGAACATTGCCAAACAACACCATGCTACAGCATCCAACATTGAGCAGCAGAGATAAGGATTTGTTTCTTTGAATATACTCTCACATTGATTGTTTACAAGTTTTTGTGTTGCTGTTTCAGCTTGGCAAGACTCGCATGACTCTTCCATGCAGGTAACTTTCAATTTATTATTGCAAAATGAGAAGTTTCAGAACTCCCTTGTATCCACATGGCACTGTGTTGCTGTATGTTTGCAGTGCATCATGTGAGGAGCTTGCTTTTAGTGTTTATCAAGGCTTCTATTGATTGCTTTAAATTATAATCTTGAGTCTGAAAAAGGAATGTTTGCTTAGGAAAAGGTTCTAAAAAGTCTTGAATTTTTCACCAAAAAAATCTCCACAAACCTGAAATTATCCTCCGTACAGAGTAAAACAGAGAACCAAGAGTAAAGTCAACCCACGTATGGCATCAATCAAAGAGTGCCTCCATGTGAAAAACTCACAACAAAACTGATGAAAGAGTATGTTATCAACACTACCCACACCATAACTTGGCTGATATCAATATTATCTCTTTCCATGCTAGTATTAAACAACTTAATATACAACAGTCAGATTTAATTGATCATCAAACTATCATGTATTTTGTTACTAGGGCGATCACATGCAACCACTTGCAGTGCTTCGATGCAGCTCTGTTTTTACAGATGAATGAAAGGTAGGGTGTTCTGTTTTTTTGTTTTTTGTTTTTTTTTTGTAACCATAATTTGAAATTAGGAAAAAGAAAAAGGAGACTGGTTTGAAAATCTTCAAACCAAAGAGAATCGATAGTGACAGCTATCCTATTCTCAATACAGGTCTCAACTCCCTTTATAAAGCAGACTTTGTAGGTATCTCAAGTTAGCATCCTCATTAGCGAGAGTCCGTAATAGCAGGAGTTTATTTCAGTAACACATGTGTAATTTATTTTTGGCCCAGGATTTAGCTGCTATCCATATTGTTGGGTGTCTGTTATAGCCAGATGTTTACAAGGCAAGAGTTGACTGTATAGAATCCAAACAATACATGATAATTATTTTAATGAGATGGACATCAACTAATGACTAATATAATAAATTGTACAAATTCACAACTCGACTTGTAACCAACTACTCTTGTTATTGTCCAGATTGTGTTGTATTTTCCTTCTTTCTTATTACTGGCAATAATCAGGTCAAAATACACTGGTTTTCTATTTAAATGTTTTGTAGGAAAACAACATGGATTTGTCCAGTATGTGACCAGAAGGCACCATTTGAAAAACTAGTGTTGGATGGGTAAGATCCTAAAATATTTAGGATGTTTAATGTTTTCACCCTTGCTTTTCTTTTCATGGCAATCCATTCCTGTCCCATTTGTTGTGAGCATTGAGTTCTTTTCATGTAGTCTCTACCCTGTTGTGTTCAAAATATCATGTCTGACATTGTTAATAGAGATCTGCATAATCTCCATTCACTCTTGGAGATTTTGCCAAAAATGCCTTTTGAAGCTAGTTGGGCTGACATCTGGTTGCTGCCCAGCCAAAACAAATCAAAACTACTGAAAAGGCCATAATACAAGTCAACCACTTAACAGTCTTCTGTTCTTGATGTTACATAATCAGCTTTTGAAGTTTGGACATGCACAGAAAGCAAAATTTCAAGATTGTTTCTGTGGTTTAAAGTGGCACTTTCCCCTCATCTTTGACTTTTTCAATTGTTGGTGTTGCAGATTGTTTAAGGAAATTCTGGAAGCTTCACACTGTAATGAAATTTGTTTTTATGAAAATGGTTCTTGGAGACCCATAAGTGACCAAGGTATTTATCATGCATTTGTACGTCACAAGGTTATTCTGTAAAATTCCGAAAATAAGCCCCGGGGGGCTTGTACTCAGAATTTGCCCTCAAATACAAAGTAAAGCAAAGCAAAAATGGTAAATTTCCTTCCCTCTACAAGCTAGCCCTATCGATTTTGAAACGCAAATTTCCCTTCGTTCAAAAGCCCGTCCGAATGTAAGCCCCCCCCCCCCCCCAAAAAAAATAAGCCCCTCAAAAAGGGCCTTTGAAAAATATAAGCCCCAGGGTTTATTTTCGGAATTTTACGGTATTGAATAATAATGTAATCCTTTGGAGCCAATTTTAACACATATTCTAGAAGAAAATAGCACATCATGCTGCTGAAAATTCATGGTGATAAATTGATATTTACATTTGTACTGGTTAGGGGTTTTCTTATGATTTGATTTCTTTTGTAAATTTTTTATTATTCTAATTGACAAATGTGCCTCTCTTCATTCCCAAGAAAATGAAAGTAAAAGAGCAGTCAGTGCTTTGGTCTCCAACACAGTACCCTCACCAGAAAGAAGTTCCAGTAGTAAAGTACATGTTGAAGGTTTGTAATCTGGCGTCACACATACCTTTTGTTCCTGTTGTATTATATATCCCTCACCTGTTAAGATTTCCTTTAGCTGTACAGGTGGGAAGCCATATAATTTATTTTTCTGGTATAAATCCTAAATCCTAAATCACCGAAAAGAGCATGATATAGTTTTAAGATAGACTGGAAGGGGTCGTCCTTCTTTTCTTCGAGCCATATGCAGCAAGCAGTAAAGTAAATTAATGTTAAAGAGAAGGAGAGATTGGGGCTAAGAGAGGAAAAAGGACTTCCCTTGGGCATCTATCCTTGTTCATCTTGGTTTCTCCACACGCTCTTCACGCTTGCCCTCAGTCTTCTGTTACTCAAGAGAAATATAAGAGACTGCTTACAGATAAAGTTTTAGGAGTGTTTTTTTTTTCCTTTCAGGGCAAGGAAAAAATTTTTGGAGACTTGTCCAATGCACAAGATTTTTTTATTTTATTGTCGGTTCATACTCCATTGAAGTAGACAGCATATTCCAATTTTATTCATTGCAACTTTTTGTTCAGAATTCAAAGACGTAAAATTGCAATGTACTTGGTATCGCAATGTCCATCATTATATTATTACAGTAGAATTTAATGTAAATGCAGCGGTAGAGATCTATGAGAGTAATTTCTCGACAATGTTATTGTTATCTTGCGTTTTACGTGTATACTGGCTGGATACTGTTTTTCAATGTTTGTTTGTTTGTCATCTAAAACACTGCTTCCTGATTATTTAGCTTTTCATCTGAACTGCCCTTCTCCGAAATACGATTAAATTCCTTATCAATCTCTGGCAACGTATGTCACAATCTAAAAGGACCATTTACTTTTTGTCCATCTAGCTCAATCACAGCAACCTGAAAAGAAAAAAGAAAAGGATGTTCAAATTATCGACCTCACTCTGGACAGCGACAGCGAGAGTGATAGGGATGATGAAACAGAAACAGAAGACCAAGATTACACTGACAGAAGGGGGTTAAATACACCAAGGTAAAGCACACATACTTGTCTCAGCATGTATTTTAATGCAGTCCAACTTTTTATTAGGGATCCCATATTATGAACTACCATTTTGCCAAAATAACCAAAATCAATCTTTCTAGTCAGAGCACTTTAGTTGGAGTCACTTTCAGGAGGCGGGTGACCTTCAAACCTTAACCCTCTCAAGACCCAATACATACACCGTATTCCACTGGAAACACAAATAGATTCCACTGCCCTCAATACAGCGCCGTCTCTAACTCTCTTCGTGCGAGACATATGGAAGTGATGCAAGCAAGGCTGATGCGCTTGAGCCAAACGACTGACCGCTGACCACGCCCGCGCTCCTTGTTGTTAACTGTGTTAAATAAATATTTTATTTAACGCAGAAAAATATATTAAATATTTAATTCAACTTCATGCAGACTTCCGGTAACTGCAATGGAATCTAGTTGTTGACGAGTGGAATCTGGTGGAGTATAGTGCGCATTTTTTTCCAAGAGTTATCAGCATCACGTTTCTCCCAACATTACCCATACACAAGCAAGGGGAGTTATAAAAATGATGACCCAATTACAAAATATTTTGCTGACGTTTTTTGCCAACTCACTCTCTCCCTCTCCCCGATTATAATTAGTGAAAGCCTCCTAATATATTGTAATGTGTATTTTACGTGTTTTCGTTGCCTTGTGATTGCAGGCCCCCTGTGAGTAGCATGATTCCAAGCATGAAAAATCCACCAAGTTTAAACTCCATGGCATTTTCTTCTGCACCCAACACTATGCCAGGATCACCGCATGCATCGTCATTGTTAAATCCAAACTTCTTCCCTCCCCCTCTCGATTTTCCGTGCCAAAGTAAGTAATCCCAGTCTGCTATTTTACATTTAAAAACAGATGATAATACGTTTCTATTCCTCATCGTCTGCCTTGCGTTAAACCGCTCTGAATTCCTTTTGCAAGGCGCATGATGTTTGAGGAATCATGGGCACGAAAAGAGATACTGAGAGCTAAAATGGACAGACTTCTCCTCCACCCCGATCGCCAACCACTCCTTTTTATTTTGTTTTCTCTTTTTATTTTTGCATCCTATGCTTTCTCTCCCTTCATGCGCGTAGAAACGAATGACTTCCACGCAGGCTTCAATTGAGGCTACTTTCCTACGCATTCGTTTCCAAATCGACACAGTGTATTCTCATGACTTTGCAGAGTTAACACGAATCAGAAGACGTTCTTAGTTTAAACGCCGTCTTGTAGTCTCTTCGAATCCGGGGGCATGACAAAATAAGACCCCGGGACTGGGGTTAGTTACAACAGAAAACTTGTCTAGTACCTGAGCAAGTGAAAGGTTAGAACGAACTTATTACAGGGCGACAGACTTCAGTTTCAGTTCTACAGCCTGGTCTGCAAGTTTACTGTCAGACTTCTTCGTACTCAGATTTCAGGCTTTCTCTCCCAGGATTGAGGGTATAATAACTGAATAATAAAAAGTTTGCCCATTAATTTGTTCTTTTTCTTTTTGTTAGATCTTGATCTCGACTTATACCATCTGCTTCCGAATGAACCACCGCCGCCGGTAAGTCCAACTATATTAGCGATCTTCATTTAGGGATCAGAATTTCTTACCCAGTCTCCTTGTTCTATCTGAACAACGGCAGAACCCAAACTCGCTGGAGTTCATGTGGTGTTTTATCTGTCCGATGATCGCGCCATACTGAACTGATTTTCATCCCAGCCTCTATCGAGTTTCACTTTTATTGTTTAGTTTCGTGTACCAAGTTTTTTGTGACGGTCAACTTGCACTTGTATCATTAATATTAATATCTTTGACAGTCTGTGTCGCTAAACTGCTTATTTGGTTTTGCGGACTATCTCGGAGCCTGGAACAGGCTATGTTTACCTTGGAAATCCTATTCTCTAAACATTTGCACCTTTTGTTAGCGACCACCTGTATCCAATATGTCGAAATTTTCCCCGTCGAAGCCTTACAGTTGAAACCTACGCCTTGAAGCGCGTATATTTGTGCTTGAATCAACAGCTTTAACCTGGAAGCGTCAAAATATGTAGGATGTCATTCATGGTTGTATTTGTTTGTTTTCCACAGTATATGTATCACGGGTTTCTTGGGCCTCACACATCTTCAAATGTTATTCAACTGGACTGACTGCGTGGATTTCATTGACCAACGAAGTAGTCGGAAAAGGTCTCTTTCTCGACTTATCCAATTCCCAGGAAATCACGCGAAGGAAGGAAAAGAAGATTTCGGTCTTGGAATTAAACTGGAAAGTGCTAGGCAGTAACCACTGCCCTTGGTCTCAATGAACAAGAGAACGAGGAAAATTTCATCCCCCTTCCTCCTGTCGTTCCCTGTTTGTTTCGTGGAGCACTGATGCCTGAAGAATTCCGCCTGTCAGAAAAATTTAACAGTGTACAGTAACAGCAAGGATACAATCAATTCCTTTGTCTTTGCTCTGGTTATTTAACAATTTCATTACTTTTTTACAGTACTTTTTAAATTTACCCTGTGCAAAATCGAGAGAAACCTGCCCGCCTATCCCGAACAAAATACATACCAAGCTGTAAAGAAGAAAGTAAAGAAGAGAGCATGTAGTGTTGGACTTTGACCCGGTGCTCAGCTGCTATTTTGGTTTGATCAACGCGGAGAGTTTGCGACCTGTAAATATAGTGGAGAGAAACAGTCGTGAAGAAGTTACGGTAGTGTAGTAGTCGCCGCAGTGTACCCCCTTTTACAACAGTGAAACTGTACTTTGCCCTTCCTCCAGTTTTCGTTACTGTGAAGTTGTAAGAGATATAGTATGTGCACTAATAGTTAACATTAGTCAAACCATTTCTTCTGTAAATTAGCTGTGATTTCTGGAAAAAAAACGCGAAGGAAAGAAGGAGCTATTTATTTTCTGTCCGTGTCGGGAAATTCAATGTTGAAAGGCCAGCGAAATAATTCTATGTTTTACAGGAAACTATTTTACGGCGCCAAATGTACCAGGGAAGGCCTTAATATGTTAAAAACTGCAATGAGTGCTTCTATTGTGAATCTCAATTGTATATATATATATATATATATAGCTTTTACAGGAACTTTGCGGAATTTTTGACTCTTATTTTTCATGTCTAATATAAATAACAACAAATGTTTCTTTGAAAGAGGTCAATAAACTTTACTAACTACAAAGCTAAAATTTCTAGTCTGTAATTGCTTATTTTGCACTCCGAGTTCAGATAAGGTTCTACAAGAGCACCGAAAACGTCCTTTGTTTGTAAACATGCTTCTTTTTACGAAACTCTGGTATGAACGGGTAACTCATTCCTGGTTGTTGTTTAGTTATCTCGGAAAGGTCCAATTTTAAAAGCTGAACAACGGTTTCAGTAAAGGTGGAAACCGTTTATTGAAATCGCATCTTGTCAAGCGCTAGCTGATTTTCCAGCTGTCCGCTATCTGAATACTAATATATTAAGTGCCGAAGCCGTGGGTTCTTTCCTGCAGTTGCAGTCTAGCTGCACGTGTGCTGTATTAAATTTAAGCAGACCGCCCTGTGTCAGACAATCGGAATCGTTTGAAAAGCGTTTCGTTATTGGTTGGTTCCAGAACATGTCCGAGGCCCGGCTTAACTACTGACCAGAGAAATTGGGATGCAAGGGGCATTGAGAAAGCCACTCAAATCTCTCTTCCATCCCGATTAGGTTAGGACAAGTTGTGCTTTCTCCCAGTAGGTTCAGTTGCATATATTGCCTACTTCCTTTAGCCTGCAGTGCAGGCGTTTTCTTTGAGCGCGCAATTTGCTCGCGAAAGCACCATGTTGAAACTTCCCGAAGAGAGGAGGAGATGGGGCGAGTCAAAGGGAGCGGTACAAATATATATATATTTTTTGTCTCTTTCATGTGTGTATGTAATTAACTAAGTACAAGGCGAATAAAAGGTATTGTTGTTGTTGTCGGGGAGAGAGAAGAGGGTATTTCTCCCCTCCCCCTCCCCCCTTTCCTTCCTTCGCCCTCGCACCTACCGTAAGGGAACCGTAAGGGTTACTATTTCTACTCTCCCCAATCTTCCACTGTCATAAAATCAAAGATGGCGGCTACAACAATATTACGAACACGAACAAGGTTTCGCCCACCCAAAATACACCTGCACTGCAGGCTATACTTCCTTCGCCTCATCACTCTGTGCGGCCTATGTGTTTCGGGTCACGTGGCCCGAGCGAGTGTGTCTCAGAATACCTCACCGAAATGCATTGACCGAGATAGCCTGGGAAGACGCTGTACATGGACTAGTCAACTGCAGGTATAAAGCGGCCTCTAATCGCTCTGCACTACTGCGGGCGTCCCCTGCGACGGAGAGCGATGAGAGGCCGCTGTACTGGCAGGCATCCGGGTTGAGCGAAAAGAAGTTACGTTTTGACCTTGGGGACAAGTCTGAAAAGTTAAGGTTTACGTAAAATCACTGTACTAGGTTGCGTTGTGCGTCCACGCAAGGATATGGATATGGAATCTCTATGGTTATGGACGATTGAAACAATAATTCATCGATTCTTTCTTCTCTGCGCTTTTTAATGTTTTACTGAATTTTATTATTACAACAGTAGAGACTTGTCACTAAGAATTTTTTCCCTCTAAGTTTCGGGTCTTGATTTCATTTCGCAAATATAACTACAGAAAACAAAGTTTCACTATTGTGGTGTTATTTCTCTCGTAATTTTCTGACCTGTACCCCCAAATCCCGACCCCCTTTCCCCCAATTATTTTCAACAAAGTTTCACCGAGTATTTACAAATCTAAGACTACACACAAAGATTAACGTATTTAATTTCGGAAGAGTTATTCTCAGCGGAGGATATGCCGGTTTCGCTTGTGGATTCTGCCTGCTCGATGTCCTGGGAGACAACGGTTTCTTCACCTTCAGTGTGAATCGCCTCGGAGAAGAACACATCCATTAGACCTGCAGAATTACCTTGATAAACAGTTTTTTCTTCATCAATGCTGTTTTGACAAAACGTCGAAACAGTGTTTAGGAACAATTGCCGAGGAAGGCTTTCCAGTGAAGCGCTGATTGGCGCCTCCAAAGAGAGAAAGACTCGCTGTTCACTCGGCTCAACCTCGGGATTGCTCGTCGAACCATCCGATTCTACTCTCGCAACGTTGGGTCCGGGTAGGGGACCTGGTGTCAGGTACGCAGAGATGTTAATATCTGGAAGGTCTGTGTTTCCTTCACTTAGTCTCTGTGCTGTAAGTTCACCTTTAAAACCAAACAAAATAAAGTTTCAAATAATCAAGTTTATTTAATCGTTTGTACAGAAGTAGACGTTCCAAATAACAATTTTGCATGGGGCGTGCAATAGCAAGCGTGCGAACAGCAGACGTATGTCTGGTCGTCGTTTTTCTCCCTCCGAAAAATCAATTTTTCTTAGCGGGTAGCCTTGTATATTACCCACTCAGTATTCCCCATAGTTTACTTCGAGATAGATCAAACATTTGTAAAGTACACATTCTTATAAAGCGTACACATTCTTAAAAGTTTGAAGGAACTTTCTCTCAAAAAACATGGTAAAACTAAATCAAACTGCTTTTTCTCTCTTTCAAAATAACTGATGACTAACATTTTGGAAGTTTAAAGAAAACCAGCTGGCTTGAAACCAGGTTTCTACTTAATGCTATGACCTTTCAAAATATACGTTCAATGTTAACTATTGAAATGAAAGGCATTCTCACATCTGGCTGCACATTAAAGGCTTTGCGTCACGGAAATCGTTTTGCCGCTCGGGTTCGCAGACGTTATTTTTCGGAGGGAGAGATGCGACGACGGGAAATACGTCTGCTGTTCGTAGGCTATGCCATAGTCTGTTCCAGGTTCTCACATAGTGGGGAAGACGCGAAAGTAAAAGGTACGCGAAAAGGTGGGCGGGGTGTGTTCCCGTTTTCTCAATCACTGCGGACCCGACTATCTCGGAGCCTGGAACAGGCTAGGCGTGCCGGGGCGCTAACAGTTCCAATTCTTCCCCGTGCAGACATTTTCTTTCGAACGCTCACCTTGTAGACATCGTAGTTTTCATTGTTTTTGTATCTCATTAAACCAGAAAAGAAAAATACATTCTAACAGCTCTCTGACGTGCAGTGAGTCTAAAAGAGGGGCTGGCACTGTGGTAAGGGGCGTGAGAGCAATGGAGACCGAGCTGATGAAACGGAAAAACACTATCAGGAGAAAATGTGGGTCAAAAGAGATACTGTCTACGGGTATTGTCGCTCGTTGTAGGTACAGAACCGAATAAACGAACTGAACTGCCGTAGAAGATCTTGAAACATATCTTACTGTAACGAGGGTCTCAATGGGGTTAACCGATAGGCGTAAAACTGCCAAAAATTTAGTCGATAGCCGTAACAATTGAAAAATTTTAACCGTTAGCCGTAAATAGGGTAAAAAAAAGTTAACCGTAAAAGAAATTGTTCCCTAGATTTGCTACTTTTAAGGAAGGTACTAAACTCACTTATGGTTGCGTTTTTTATTTCGCGGCTAGTGTGGCTCCGTACGCAAGTTAGGTAAAGCGCCTTTTAGGTGAAGACCAAGACCCATTTCCATTTCCGCCGATCTCGGGGAACTAATTTTTTTTCCATAGCGAAAGTGTGGCTTCTTGCTGGGGATTAATATTTGCGATTTTCAGGAGGTCGTGCCCTCGAAACACTAGTGAAACAACACGAAGAGATCTCAAAAAAGTTGCCGATAAACAACATTTCCCTGTTTTCTCTGACGCTTCGGTAGACATTGCCATGCCTAGTCCCTGTAAGGCGTCTTCCCACGCAATTTCGGTCAAGGCATTTCGGTGGCGAACTCGCTCGGACCACGTCACCCGAAACGCATTAGCCGCGCGAAATAATAAGGCCTAAGGACAAGGCAAAACGACTGACAGTGGTTCCGTACAGTCCTTCGCTACCATTAAAAACACTGGACACGGGAATTTTGTTATTGGCCGTTTTCACACTAGAGCTAGAAACGGATTATCCGCTGAGACTATCCTGTGTACAGTCGCCCCCTTCCCGACAGACACCCTCTCCCCGATTTTTTTTCTGAGCGGAAGGGGCGGCTGTACACGGGCAGTCTGGAACGGATAATCCCGTCTTCAAACTGTCCGTCGAAGTTGAAGGATAAAGTCAGGCGGATTGTTCATGCAAAATCAAAACTATTCCATTTTCAAATTAAGACGTATTATCTATCTGACGCGAATCATCAAACGGATAACCCGTCTCACACGAATAATCCGTCTTTAGTGTGAAAAAAGGCCATTTCTGTTGTAATGAATGTCGCGCCCCGGCCTTGAGTTTGGCGTTCGGGTGTGTGCTTTTCTTTTTCACAAAGATTATTTTTAAATTGGCTATTGACATTTTTATGTGTAAAATAATATTAGAAGTGGAATACTTTATAAAAAGTATGATCTATCAAATGTTAAAATTTTTCAAAAGAATAGCTTATTTCATATCCCGAGATGATCCTAAGACCTTTATTTTGCTTTAAAGATACAAACAGTACAGGTTAATTAATATTTAACTTTTTGAAACAAAAGAAGTTAATTTTTAACTTTTTCGTTAACCGTAACTGAAAAAAATTAGCCCATAGCCGTAAAAGAGCCAAAATTTTAGCCGATAACCGTAAATGCCACCACCCCATTGAGACCCTCTGTAACGAGTTCAATGAACATACCTAGAACACTGTTTGCCAAACCACTGTCTTCCACTTCTGTTGTTACCAAATTATCAAGTTTTCTTATGTGTTCTTCCTGCAGAGATTGGTGACTATTACTTAGCATTTGTCCGCTCTCGTCCACAGCACTCGCCACAGAGTCGGACATGTTATTTTCCAGCCTAGTTATGTTCTCTGGTTGATTTTCACGGAAGAGTTTCTCCTCCAAAAGCCGCTTTTCCTTCGCACGCCTGTTTTGGAACCAAACTTGTACTCTGTCCTCGGCGAGTCCAGTTTTCACGGCCATCTCTTGTCGAAACTTGCCGTCAGGGTATTTTTGTTGCAAGAAACCCTGTTCAAGTAGATAGAGCTGCTCCTGTGTAAAGACTGTTCTACAGCGACGGCGTTTTTCTTTAGGACGAAATTCTAAATAAGAAAAATTAAATACTTTTGTAGTGTATGAACTTCTTAAAAAGTTCAGGTGTCTCTTGGCATTGAAACTATTGTGTGTCAGGTATCCCATATAGTGTTTGCTAAAGAGTCCATCTAAAATATTCTAAGGCTTTGATTGGCATTGTCCGCGAAGAATTAAAACAAAAATGTAGTCTGCGTGGCAGGCCCCAATCCCCCTCCCCTTTTCCCCTTCCTCCCTATCCCCTACCCCTTTCTACGCCTGCTATGCAAGCTAACAAAGATGTTGAAAATTGACTTTGTCATTGTGTGAAGCAATTACTGGTAGCTAGGTGACTAACGAGTAATTATTACCTTCACTTTGGTATAATGCGGGATATGACGTACACGGATCAAACATTGGTCTGGGATACGGAGAGGGAGTATAGCACGGATAGTAAAATCGGGAAGGAAATACTGACATCTGAGACAATGCATTGGAATTCTGCAAACCAACTGAAGGCAGTTGAGAGCACAGAGCGTGATTTTGCTGCTGGAAAAAACCTGGTGAAGGTTGGAGTGGACCGAAAGCTGATCTCTCGTCTCTCGTGTCGAAATTTGAGGCTTCGTTCCAATGTTTCTGAGTATTTCCCCGCATCTCCTCTTCTTTCCTTGTTTCTTCCATGTTCTAAGGTTTGCCTGATTAACTGAAATGGCTGCAAACTTTGGATGAACAATTACTTATTTCGTCATCAGGTCGTTATCACTGATTGTGACGTTGCGCAAGGAACGCATGGGCTGCGGTCGAATTTGGAGATTTCTTTTCTAATAAATACTACAATTTGTATTCTTATTTGTCTCCTCTACTTCAAGACACGTATATATAGTCTGTAATATACAAATTCATCTGTTTTCGTTCTTTTAAAAATATAACCAAGTACAAATGAAACACCTTCTTTGTGCGCGTGCACTCGGTTCACTAGCTTCGCCGAAGTGCGCGAGCTCCGCCTCGCCCAGCGAATCCGACAAGAGATAAACCCAACATTCTTTTGCTTAACAGTCAACACATTAATCAGCTTATTGAGTATGTAAAGACCATGAATATATCTATGACTGCATTGATCTGTTCCTACATAGTGAGGACTAAATTCGATTAAAAACAAAATTCATAATCTTTCCGAAAGGTAAAACTTTCTTATATTCGTGGCAACAATCCCGATCGAAATTTGGGGGTGCCGCGTTTTTATTTGAATGGGCTGTTTGGAATCAGAATACATCTTTTTTCTTCGCGAGCTAATCTCATTTAAGACTAGCTAGGCTAGCGTTCCGACCCTACTGTCCCATTTTAATGCTAAATGATCTTTCAGGCAGGTAATTAACTGCTGTTACGATTGTCCCTTGCCCCTTAAAAGTAGCGACAGCAAGGACAAGGAAAGTTGATCGAGTTGCCTTTCGCAAAGACCCCTGGGATATTCCCTGGGGCTGCGCCGGTCAGCTATTGGCCAATATGTTTTTCCTGCCCCTACTAACAGTTCCAGAAGTCTTTGCGAAAGTGAACTCAAGCCAGTTTCCTTCTCGTATGTTTCTAGTGCAGTGGTTTATACTGCGCGAGTGGGGACCGGGGGAACCAGTAAGGAACATGCTAATGTGTTTAGTGCCGCTGACCCTGACACTAACGAATGCTTTCTACAAGAAAAACTGTTTGTAAGTCGCTCAAAGACCTTTTTTCTGGCCCAAAATTACAACCAACGTGCCAAGCAACTTTGATTGAGCTCATAAACTGTTTAAGATTATTCGCCTTTGAATCGTTTCCTCTAAAACACAACTTTATAAGGGCTCAGTCCATAGGTAAGTTAAGAATAACTATTTATTGCTGTAACCTCTACATGACTACGTTTTTATACGTTTTTTGTTTATCCCAGGAACGTCTAATATAATTAACATAAATAAGGCGTTAAACTGGCTTTTTAACCGTGATATCAGCAAGCAGATTCTTATATAAATATTAAATAATTTTCTTCATTCATTTTCTGTCATATTGGTGTGGAGAATTTGTTTTGCAATCGAGTCTCTCCTTGCTTTCGGATCAATTCCCTACATTTGTGACACATCTCTTTTATTAAGCAGTGATATTTTTTAAAGTTTTTTGACCTTTAAAATGGATTCGACGGCCTCTAAGTGTCTCTTGTTGATCCCGAGGGCATCTAAACAAACTCTCTCAATCCAAATAATCTCTTAAGAGGCTTAAAAGAGGCCCTGGGAAATCAAAATGAAACATTTCAAAGTCTTCTTCAAAGGCCTTGGCCAGTCCTGCAATCTTCTCTCTGGGGACTGGTGCATATTTTTGGAGCAGTTTACCTGTTGTATTGTGGGTAACAAACTCAGGAAAGGTAACCTCTTTATCCATTCCAGTTTTTTTCAGGATGTAAGCAGCTTCTTCCGGCATGTCTTTAAAATGGCCGATAAAATCGTATTCTATGTCACATGGGAGACAAAGTCGTGCGTACGGTGCCCAGTGGTCATCTTGATTAAATCTAAAATCGTTCAAAAAGTAAACAAATCTCTTGAATGTCACATTCCAGCCAGCGCTAGGATCAACTTGACTGAATTTTTTATTAATGTCCCTCTCGAACTTCAAAATCCTAAACCGTGGCCATTGCCGTTTTACAAACTTGTTTTCATGCGCTGACAAAAGCCTCTCGAAGGGCTCCCGAACAAAGAGAAACTTATAGTAAGATTGCAGCCTCATTCTGATATCCTCGAAGGAATATCTTCTAAGCAAATGGAAATTTTTTTGATAGTGTTCGTTAGTCACTTTAGTTTGGTTTTCAAGTGCAAGAAAAATACGCTTCCATTGAGTACAGGCAGCCTCGGGAATATAGCAGTAGATGACTTTGTATTTGTCATTAACAATTAAATTACTCAGGTCTTTTGGCCCAATCTTCTTTCCTTTGATAGCTGCAGGGTGCTTTGCGCAGTAGTTTTGGAGACGGCTTTGTCGTTGACTTTGTCTTCGCTCAATCCTCTGATGGACATCAAAGATCTGCTATAGTTGATTGACGAACGAGAGCATTTGTACTTCTTAGTAAGGGAGTGAACTGAGCTAGAAACACATCATCTGGGAAATGATGAACTTACATACACGGTTTTGCTAATTACAGACCCTTATATTGGGTCAATTAATTACTACAAAAAACTACAAGGGAAACCTACACTGGTTACTTGAAGAGTTCGCGAGAAAATGCATTTTTTTTGTAATATCCAAAGGAAAAATAAAGCCGTGCAAAAGATCTCGGCCATTTTATAGTAGTGTGCTCAGTCTCGGGTGGGGGACTCCCACATGAAAGGGACAGGGATGCTCGTCGGAAATTTTGAATTAAACCCCTAAAGGAGACCAATCTGGGCGTGGCTTAACCTTTTTTTGAGCATGAAAGCGATCATTTTAAACTTTGATTACATGAATCGAGTAAATAAAACGAATAATTTTTTAATATTTCTCGAGTGCAACCCTAAAAGAGACCTTTACGGCTAAATATAATGGTGTTTTGCCCAGAACACCCTAAGCGAGACCAAAATCTGAAATTTACACCCCTAAG